TAGCATGTAAAAATATAAAAGATAAGTTCTAGTAGACGTGTCTTATGGTGGGCTTCAAAGGGTTAATACCATAGGTGCATGTAGTGAAAGTCTCAGTGAGCTCGAGTTCAAGGTCAAAGGCAGAGGTCAAGGTTTCTAAAGATCTCGTGAACATGTTAACTCGAGAATGCGACAGATCCCATATGAGTGAAAGAAGCCATTTATGTCCACTGTGAGCGACCATCTTTGAACAGAGGCGGTGGTTTACGACACCAACTGTCTGCCATCTATAATCCAGTTTTGAGATCCCTTCCCAGACGCCTTAACGCCCACTCACATCCTGGGCCATCTGACCTCAGGAAATCACATGATAGGGTGGGGCCAGGTTTCATAATGAGCTCACCCGAAACCCTGGCTGATTGGACCCACACCCGCTTTCACACCTTGGCTCATGTGATTAGGTAGAGGATCATCAGGGGTCCTTTGTCCCTTTTTGGGGGAAACTCCCAGGTTTAAATCTGGGACTCTCCACCATTTGACCTTAGAACTGAAGAAGCTTCTCGGATGAGAGGTGAAACGTCTTCAAGCAACTCAAAGAAGTCCAGACGCTTTTCTTTCCAAGCTCCTTAGACTACCATGACCTGGATGACTGAGAACCTTCACAGACGTTTCATATGACTGTATTATCTTTAACATTTCCAGTGTTGGAATCATTCATGGCCAGAAATAATTCCAGGTCTGGACTCTCTTCCTTTCTCCTCATTCATAAAGTTGCTTCGCGGTAAAACGTTAGGAGCTTTCAGATGGCAGCCCTTCTCTGACTCTGCTGAAGGTCTGAGCAGAGTCGGGCTCCTGTTTCAGAGCAGCTCTTTTGCCAGGTGCTTGTCTTCAGATGCCCCGTGACCTGTTTCTCCTTCCTCCTCCAGGCTCGTCAGTCCTTCACAGCAGGCAGTGATGACAGCTTCCGGCCAGGCAGCCTTTTCAGGCAGCTCGCTGATCAGGATGAAGACACAGCAGCGACTTCTTTATTTAAGCTTAACTGGCTCTCTGGGATGGGCAAATAATTCTCAGCTGGCTGCTTTGTTACAGTGACATGTACAGTAAATACTCCTTTTGTGTGTTGACAAAATGCCTCCTGTGTGATGTGTAAATGTTGTGTAAGCACTGACGTGTGTTGGCTGACTGGTGATCAGAGCAGCGATACTCTGGTTGAATGTGTGCATACACAAGCAGCATCGTTCAGGCACTCTGTGTTCCTGAAAGGAAACTGTGTGTGACAGGGTGGATGCTTCCTCTGTAGTGCTTTTCTACTCTTCACACTTTCTTTATGCTCCTTCTACCAAAGTGCTTTTCACATTCACACACACTCATACTCTGATGGATGCATCGGAGAGCAGCTTAGGCTGTGGCTGGTTGGTGGGGTAGGCTGTCTTTTTCACTCTGGACTGAAACATGTTTAACACACTGTGGTTTGTGACATACAGACTGATGCAGTCAGCTTCTATCACAGGATGTCTCCACAGCTACATTTGTATGAGTATGTGAACATGCTGACACGAAGCATTATCCCTGCAAACACTCCAGCGATCAGCTGACACATTCTGTACTGGGTTCTACATTTTCTCTGGGTGTTAATATGTCAGGTTGTATTTTATGTATGTATTCAGTTCAGATAGAGATGTATGGCTGCCATGATGGCAGAAAGCAGGTTGACTTCATCATTATTGCCTCAGAGTAATCACCAGTGTGAAACACATTCTGGTGTTTGTGCAGCACTGTGGTGATTAGTGCTGTCACCTCACATCAAACAGTTTGTGGGTTTGAATCTGTGCCTGCATGGACTCTGAACGTGTGTTAATCATGAGTTCTTATTGGTTGTTGGGTAAGTATTGTAATGCTAAATGTGTCTTGTGGTTAAATGTTGCTTGTGTCTCTCACCAAAATAAACTCAGCCAAACCTTCATCTCTGTGTCACTGACGGTGACGTTGTTGATTGGCGAGTTTCTAGTTTGCAAAGCTGCTGGATGACGTTGGGACCACACTGCAAAAGTAGCACATGAAGCAAAACCCTCAGACAGGTCCGTGTCGCAGGAACAGCGTGGTGCAGATACTTGGTGTCAAAGAAAGTGTCACCAACACCGGCCCCCACCGTTCAGTTAATAGTTTTTCCATCGATCCTTTTCACAGTTATAAGATGGATTTGTGCTGCTCACCTTTGGCTGGATAACAAGGAGGGCGCTGAACACACTGCAGGCTGTGATTCGGTGCATCTGCAGGGTATTCACAGCACCTCACTCATGTTTACAACCTTATTTCAAATACATTAACTCCACATTGTACACTCAGTACCTCGTAATGATGACGTGAAAAAGTTGTTGCATGAAATAAAAAGAACAGTGAGTAGTGTTTGAGTATTCATAGCCTTTATCATGACACGACCTCAGGTGTGTCGGTCAGGGCTGGTGCCAGGGGAGTGCTAGCTGCCACAGATGATACCTGTCTGATTGTTCGGCCCCTGTTTCAGTGGTGTGCTGGGACGTTACACACACACCTGTCTAAGATCTCATAGACAGTGCATGTCAGAGCACAAACCACTCCAGGGAGTATAAGGATCTGTCTCCAGGCCGAAGAGGAAGGATTGTTTCGAGGGACATATCTGGGGAAGGGTCCAGAAAATGTTCTTGACGGTCTCATGACCACAGTGTCCACTATCATTCCTAAATGGGAGCACCAGGACTCTTCCCAGAGCTGAACCAATCTGGACAACTGAAGGTCCTTAGTGAGCAGACCCAACTGAAGCTAGAAGGCAGCCAAAGTCTGGTCTGAAGAAGCTAATGTTGAACCTTTGGCCTGAAAGCCAAAGTTCACGTCTGCAGTAAACGAGCAACACTCAGCACCTGACCAGTACCGTCCCTGCAGTGAAGTGTGGTGGGGGCAGTATCAGCTGTGGGGGTGTTTGACAGCAGGAACTGGGAGACTAGTCAGGTTTAAGGGAAAGATGAATGCAGGACCTGCTCCAGAGGGCTCTGCTCAGACAAAGGTTCATGTTGGCGTTTGAGTTCACCTTGATTCACAACAGGGATGCTGCGACTTCCCTTCTCACCGTGATAGATCTCAGCGACCAGGCAGATGCACTGCTTCCAAAGGTTACAAGAGGGGATGCAAAACCCAAGGTGATGGAGGTGGGGGTGGGGGTGACCTTTTACTAGTTCTGAAAAGCTAAAACTAGTGCAGCAAGTACACTCTGGACACCAGGGAGGGCGGTGCTTGGCAAAAGTAGTTCATCCTGGCTTCTAACACGAGTTAGTTTCAGCATAACTGCTTCAGCGTGCCCCGGTGGTGTTGACAGCGTGGCAGGTCGATAGCTTCTAACTTCTTCTTCTGGTCCTCCTGTTATTCACTACATACCTGTTGTTTACTGTCACACTGTGGGTTCTGCTAACCAGGGATTCAATCACCTTTATTTATTTATTTATTTATTTAGTACATTTGGACCTTTGGTTTAAAAAGCTGAAAGTGTTGATTGATATGAAGTGTTTCTCAGGTTAGCGACTTATCATGAAAATACTTGTTGACTACAGCTGTGCACTTCTTAAGCATAAACAGAGCTGACACATATAGAGCCTTTTCTTACCTAAATTCAAACATTAATACATGTTTAGCGCACATCACTTCTTTGTACTTCATCTCGCTCACACTCATCCATCCACAGATGGCTCAGGATTATCACTGCAGCATACAGAGCACTGGAAGGTCGGTCTCCACAATTCTCATCCAAACTATTTGTATCTCACTGAAGACTGAGATGGACAGAGTCTTTCCGTCTTTGGCTCCAAGGCTTTAAAACAGTTCACACTTAAGCTCTGTGGAGTCTTTAAAAACAGTTAAAAACCTTTTAAGAAAAAATCAGCAGATTAAACCATTCTCCTTTTGTTTGAACATGGTTCTCTTTGGTATTTATTGTGCTTTAAATACCGCAGCAATTTCCTAATGTTGTAAACCTGCTCTACATTTGGCAATAAACCCCTTTCTGATTTCTGATTCTGATTAATTGTTGTAAATAATCTTATTTATAAACGCACCCAGTGTTACAACCTACTGTAGCCTCTGAGCCACAGATACCTACGGTGCTGAGAGACGACGAGGTTTAAGCTGCTGTAGCAGACACCATTAATAAATGATCACAAGCGTGTTTTTGCACAGCTCTGTTAAAATAAACTCTTTTTGATTTGAATACAAACACAGTATATATGCCAATATTGATGTATCCTTGATATGTCTTGGGGTGGCTGTAGCTCAGGTGGCAGAGCAGGTCAGCCACTAATCAGAAGGTCGGTGGATCGATCCCAGGCTGCCTCCTGGCTGCATGCCAATTATCCTTGGGCAAGATACTAACCCCGTGTTTGCCTACTGGTGGTGGTCAGAGGGCCCGGTGGCTCCAGTGTCCGGCAGCCTCGCCTCAGTGCGCAGCTGTGGCTACAATGTAGCTGCCATCACGAATGTGTGAATGACTGAATGTAGTGTAAAGTGCTTTGGGACTGAGTAAAGCGCTACACAAATGCAGGCCATTTACCATATATCAGTAGGGACTGTTGGCTGTTTAAAAGAAACATCAGTTAAAGTTAAAAAAAATCAGCCGTGACATTCAAAGTCTTCTACATATTGAGCTTATTTATTAGAATTCATTTATTTGTATTTTTGGGACATGGTCCACACTTGGATGCTACACAGATACTCTTTCATTGACATGCACTGAAATACTATTTTGCACGACTGTGACACATTTAATCTAATAAGACCAAAACAAAACCCTGCAATGACAGCAGTGCATACGTGCAACTGCAGTTCTACAGGGTGGACCATTTATATGGATACACCGTAATAACATGGAAATGGTTGGTGATATTAAAGTCCTGTTTGTGACACATTAGTATATGTGAGTGGGCAAACTCCTCAAGATGGGTGGTGACCATTTAGAAGTCGGCCATCTTGGGTACAACTTTTGTTTTTTCAATAGGAAGAGGGCCATGTGACACATCACACTTATTGGTAATGTCACAAGAAAAACAATGGTGTGCTTGGTTTCAACGTAACTTTACAGTAGCTTTTCAACAACAACTTCCTATTGAAAAAAATTTAAAATAACTCACAGTTACTAAAACAGGAGACCATTAATAAGTAAAGTGAGACCTTTCATGTATCCAGCTACAAAGAGGACTGCTTTGAACGAAACCGCGTGCATACAAACACACCTGCACTATACTTTTCTACTTCTTCCTGTCGATCTTGCTCATCATGGCTTTGACATCCACTGGAGCGGAGGCAGCGGCAGCCTTGGCTTTTTCCTCCTCTTCTTGCTGCCAGAGGATGATGGGGTGGATGCCCGGGCTCCGGTTCAGAGCATTCTGCTCCAGGTTGGCAGGACTTGGATGGAAATACAAACATTAATGACAAAAAAGCCTCTTTCACCAGAGTAAAGTTGTGAAACACACATTGCTTATCGATTGTAGAATGTTATGCTCTTTACTTGTCCTTTCCCTGGTTTGGGTTCAAATGATTAGACGGTAAACCTGTTTGACCACTATACGCACACTGGTGACACTGGTGAGGAGCAACTGGTGACACACAACGCAGAAAATAATATTTGAATGTGATGCCAATCCAAATGGTGTGAAGGGAGGGCTTTTAAAAACACATCAGATCTCAGTGGGTCTGTGGACCAGACTTAAACATGTAAACATCCCTCATGCTGTCTCATCTTAAATGTTCTTATCTTCAATTTGAAAATGGCGCTATCATTACAGGAGCTTCTATCCTATGAATGCTGGAGAAGTTTTATTTACTTTGTTTTCCCATTGCAGTGACGCAGTGCTCCTCCTCTGTCTGTCTTCTTTTTCTTTTAGTCTTCGTCTTTTTCATATAAACTTAAATTCCAAGCATTTTTTACTTGAGCCACAGTGACGGTCTCAGAGGAACTGATTTCTTCCCCTGCGGACTTCAGACACTATTCAGTTTCATACAGTCATCCTTTCTTATTAACTGCAGGCCTCTTTCTTACAACACTGTCACCACTTCCTGTTTCAGCCTGGATTTAAACATGTCTCCTTATATAGAGATCTGTATGGAAAGATGGATGTGTCAATTCCAAAAGTTTGTGATGTAGTCGGATTACTATTATGAAGGATCCAGGCAAAAAGTACTGCCTGTGTGTACGTCAGTACTTGTGGTAATATATCCCAATATAGTAAGAGGTTCCTTCCCTGTTTTTCCTGTTTGGATCATTTTAAAGGGATCCCAGGGGCTATGTTATCTGGGGGCTTTAGCCCCCTGGTAGGGTCTCCCATGGCAAATTGGCCCTGGGTGAGGGACCAGACAAAGAGCGATTCATAAGACCCTTATGAAAAGGACA